TTGGGGGGGGGGGTAGAAAATCAGTAGGATGGACTTCCATATAAGGGACAGAATTTACGAACTTCATTGTTTTGACATTGGAACATTATGACAACTTTGGTTTGTGGACATGCTTTTGCATCAGATTTTATTTGACTTGTCCACCTTTTGTTGCTTGACTAAATGTAACCGTGTTCTGTCCTGTGTAAATGTATGCTGGGCTCCATTGGAAAGCAGCTTCTACTAGCTGAATGGGCTACCCAGCTGTTTAATGATGAAATAGATATAAATAGAATTACAAAAGTTTCTATCAGAATCTTGGCATTAACAGAAATGGTCAGACTTCCACACAAGGGTTAGAACTACTGTAGTTTCTAGCAGAATATTAGCAAGAACAGGAAGGGATGGACTTTTTTTGTACAAGAGCCATGAATGTTTCTATTATACAGACACAAGAACAAATCTGGTTTTATCAATCACATACACACAGGGATGAGCAGGTGTGGTGCACTTTTGACAACATGTGATAGGGGGCGTTGGTGCTAAGTGGTAAAACTACCAGTTAGCAGCAGTGTCAATACTTCAACAGTGATGAATGCACAGATTTATTTGTCAACAAACTGAGTAGCAGATTCCACTGCCAGGATGCTTACAATATCTATATTATCTCAAGTTAGAATATTTTGATGCTACTAAAGAAGAAAAACCCAATTTGGATTAAACAAAGCCTTGAAATTTAAAAGGTTAAGATAAATAACAAAAAAAACAGAGATGCAAGTTAGAATAGATGAATATTACAATAATATTGTAAACAACACATGCAGTTGAACAACACATGTAAGTTAACATAATGACTGTGGTCATGAGGAAATGCAGTTCCTGCTAATTCAGCCAGAGGGCGTGCATGACAAGGGCAGAACTCACAGTTCCCTGAGCCTGAAGTTATCTGCAAACTGCTTCACGCTCCTGAGGGAGGCCAGGTCCAGCTGCAGCACATCTACTTGGACTGAGGCCTGGAGACAGAGAGGTTTTCAGCATTAAATATCTGTTCGATATTCAAAATCTGATGGTAGCTTTGTGAAACCTACAACTCAGCACCAAGGACAGGACAGGGACAGGGGTTTACCACACAAATTTCTTAGTACTAAACATCAGAACAGAGGACTGGGGACAGGCATGGGTGTTAGTATACTAAATTTCTGTTAGAGAGTTGAAATCTGTTCTTTTTTTTAATACGAGGACTTAGTTAGTACTGAATACATGCCTGAGGAACAGAGAAATGGCATTAGTTTAGATATTCAAAATCTGATGTGAGTTTTGTGAAACCCACAAATCAGCACCAAGGAGAGGGTTTTACAATACAAACTCTGAATATGTGATTTCTTCACTGTTTTGTTTATTAGATTTCCATAAGTGAATACTAATATATTCCTATTCTTCCTTTGAGTCCTACAACATGTGGACAGAGGCCTGGGGGTAAAAATGGGCTTAAATACCAAAATTCTGTAACTTAGATATTCAAAACCTGATGGGATATTTGCGAAACCCAGAGTTTAGCACCAAGGACAGGGTTTTATATTTCTAACTACTGAGTACTGTACTAAACATCAGCACAGAGGCCTGAGGACAGAGATGTTTTCAGTATTAAATATCTGTTACAGATCCAAAATGTGATGTGAGCTTTGTAAAACCTACAGTTCATCACCAAGGACAGGGACAGGGTTTCACAACACAAACTTAACATTAGCACAGACGACTGGGGACAGGCATGGGGGTTAGTACTAAACATGTCTTACAGAGATAGAAAATCTGCTGGATCTTTGTGAAACCTACAGTTCAGCACCAAGGACAGGGACAGGGTTTTACCACACAAACTTAGCATCAGCACTGAGGCCTGGGGACAGGCATGGGGGTTAATACTAAACATGTCTTACTGAGATGGAAAATGTGATGGGAGCTTTGTGAAACCCAGAATTCAGCACCAAGGACAGGGACAGGGTTTTACAACAGAAACTTAACATCAGCACAGAGGCCTGAGAACAGGCATGGAGTTTAATACTAAACATCAGTTAGAGATCTAAAATCTATTGGGAGCTTTCTAAAACCCAGAGTTCAGCACCAAGGACAGGGATGCTCAAATTTCATTTCATGACCTCTTGCAGAACAGATCATTAAAACATAGATATGTCCAAATTTCAGCACCAAGGACAGGTGCCACAATATCCAGCTTTTTTCTTGGTCTATTTACTGTGGTCTCTCTTAACTACATGTTACCCATTACCATCCTTGCTAGTTGTATAGTACTGATACCTTCGTGAGATGTGGCCACCTGTTACTGATAACCCTAAATCAGCACCAAGGACAGGACCCACCCATCAGCCTCACAAACTCAACATACGACACAGAAATGATCCTAACCCCACCCTTAGTGGCTGAACTGCAGTGATACTGACCCATCCTTAGTGGCTGAACTGTGAGACTGACCCACCCTTACTGCCCATGATACTGACCCGTTCCGCCCTGATGGCCTTGGCAGCCAGGTTTGCCTTGTGCAGGTCCCTGCAGGCTAGGATAACATGTGCTCCATGGAGCGCCAGCGAGCGCGCCGTCTCAAACCCTGCAGATAAACAAACAAACAAACAAACAAACAAACAAACAAACAAACAATACTGTAAACACACACCACTGCAGCTCCATGGAGCAGGCTAGAATAACATGTGCTCCATGGAGATCCAGCGAGCGCGCCGTCTCAAACCCTGGGGATAAACAAACAAACAAACAAACAAACAAACAATACTGTAAACACACACCACTGCACCTCCATGGAGCAGGCTAGGATAACATGTGCTCCATGGAGCGCCAGCGAGCGCGCCGTCTCAAACCCTGCAGATAAACAAATAAACAAACAAACAAACAATACTGTAAACACACATCACTGCAGAACCATGGAGCAGGCTAGGATAACATGTGCTCCATGGAGCGCCAGCGAGCGCGCCGTCTCAAACCCTGCAGATAAACAAACAAACAAACAAACAATACTGTAAACACACATCACTGCACCTCCATGGAGAGCCAGCGAGCGCGCCGTCTCAAACCCTGCAGATAAACAAACAAACAAACAAACAATACTGTAAACATGCACACACACATCACTGCAGCTCCATGGAGCACATTGTCTCAAACCCTGTAAACACACAAAACTCACTCATATACCTACAGAATCTGATGAATTCTGCACAAAGGATTTTTCCTTTTTTCCGCACCTTAACCTTCAGCTCAATCATGCAGAACTCAACACACCATAATTCAGGAAACAGCATGTAAAATCAACCTGCTGCCTAACCCCATATCCAATACAAATTTGGTGTGAATCAGCTACCTTAGCAGGCTAAAGGTTAACTGAACATCGGATGAATGACTCCAACATGGCACCCTCCTCACCTATCCCAAAGTTTGCGCCTGTTATGATGTAAAATTAACCTTCTCCCTGCTGCCTAACCCCATGATTAATACAAATTTTGTGTGAATCAGCTACATTAGCAGGATGAAGGTTAACTGAACGAATGAAACATAAGACTGAACATGGAGAAACAGTAACTGTTGAAATGAATAACTCCAACATGGCGCCGTCCTCACCTATCCCAGAGTTAGCGCCGGTTACCACGGCGACCCTGCCGGTGAGGTCGCGACCCTGCAGCACCTGGAGCGCCGTGCTGTGTCCGTCGAACCGCTGCCGCCACTCCTTGTCCTCGGACACGGCGAAGGCCAGACGCGGGTCCGTATAGGTCGTGATCCTGGTCACGTGACTGTGGGGGGATTCGGACATGATGATAACTGCACTATCCTTAACCTTCTCCCTACTGCCTAAACCTGCAACTGGTACAGATTTGGTGGAAAACGGCTACTGTAGCAGGCAGAGGGTTAATCTAGCAACTGTACAGTCATGATAACTGTACTGCCTTTAACCTTCTCCCTGCTGCCTAACCCTGCAACTTGTACAGATTTGGGGCCAAATGGCTGCTGTAGCAGGCAGAGGGTTAAACCAGCAACAGTCATTATAATAATAACTGCACTATCCTTAACCTTCTCCCTGCTGCCCAACCCTGCAACTGGTACAGATTTGGTGCCAAACGGCTACTGTAGCAGGCAGAGGGTTAATCTAGCAACTGTACAGTCATGATAACTGTACTGCCTTTAACCTTCTCCCTGCTGCCTAACCCTGCAACTGGTACAGATTTGGGGCCAAATGGCTGCTGTAGCAGGCAGAGGGTTAAACCAGCTACATGTATAGTCATGATAACTGTACTATAAACCTTCTCCCTGCTGCCATAGTTTCAGGATTTACTATTCAAAGTTAGTGTGTACTTTACAACCAAAGACTCAAGCTGAAGAGCTTGGGTTTCAAGTTTTGCATTGGTTTTATTTCAAGTAGTCATCAAACCCAACAACTGCTTACCATTTAAAATGGCCTGAGCTGTAATTACTGGTTAAATAAATAAATTGAATTGAATGTATCTAATAGAGTAGACCTGGGTTATAGTGGTGTCTTGTATGTTACAAAGGCATGCATACAATGTATGTATGTATGTTGAACACAAGAAAGCAAACCTACTCCACATAGTACATCCTGCCCTCCTCATCTGTACACTGTTCCCAGCCATACGGCAGCTCTGGGGAACACAGGAATGGGTTATTAACTTTGTTAATGAAATACAGGACCACTCAACAGGAGAACATGTGAGGAAATTAGGTGCAGAATTAATCTTGACTATATAGTATATAGTATGAATATAATATATTCTTGACATCTAAGTGTCAGAAAAATAATAAAGTCTTTATTATATAAGATTATTTCATATGGTGCACGCAATAAAATTTCCTGTGCACCCATTTTTTTTTATGGGTGCACCACGAGCACCATATTCCTAAAAGTGAATTTCGAGCCCTGCTTTACTCACCTCCCAGCACTCTTTTCCGCTTGCCGCTGGAGGGATGAACCCACTGGGTGGTCTTCTCGGTGTGGCTGGGCAGTGGGGAGGGGAACAGTCTGGTTATAGTTTTATTATACCAAGGAGGTTATAGGGGAGACTTGGTTATACTTATGCTTATAATATTATATAACTGAGGGCCCAGAGCTAAGCTGAGCTTCTGTAAACGTGTTAGACTGGGGACAGTCTAATAGAGTAATACCAGAAGTATAAACTTCTAGGCGAAGGTAACAGCATTTGACATTGCGTAGTGGACCCTGCCGTCTGTAGTCACCCTACCCTACGTCCAGTCAGTACAGAACTGAGGGCCCAGAGCTAAGCTGAGCCTCTGATTCTGAAACGTGCTACACTGAGGAGTCTAGAACTCAGAGTAGAACCAAACGCTACCAGAAACACAAACTTCCAGGCTATGTTAACAACAAACAAACAAGGTTTTACTTAGCGTAGTACACCCTGTCGTCTGTGGTCACCCTCTCCTCCCAGCCAGTACTGAACCCAGGGCCCAGACCAGTCCAGAGCTAAGCTGAGCCTCTGAAACGTGCTACACTGAGGAGAGTCTAGAACTCAGTCTGACAGAGTAGAACAAAACGCTACCAGAAACACAAACACCCAGGCTATGTTAACAACAAACAAGGTTTTACTTTGCGTAGTAGACCCTGCCGTCCGTCGTCACTCTCTCCTCCCAGCCGGGCGGCAATTCGTCCTCAGAATCCGTGTCAAAAATCCCCTCCACGGCCGCCATTTGTGATTCGAACCGGACCGTGCTACTACAGATACAGGGGGAAAATTTGACTACGCAGGCAAAACGAATAGTTCTTAACAAATAGGGAGTAATAAGTATAGAGAAATTACACTTTTAATATTTATATCGAATTTTTGTAAGATATAAAGTTTTCAAAGTATTTTTGTTACGTTTTTGAGCACAACTTGAAAGTTACGTCTCTCCCTCTCAGAGAATGGTGAGGTCCATAACAACTTCCGGTTCCCTGTGTTGTTTTGTTGTTCCCAGCCCAGCGAAGATGTCTGCAGACGGTAGATCAGACCGCCAGTCCCGCCCGATGATCCCCAGGGCGATCAAGTACCTGTTCGGGCTGGGTCTGGGCGCCAGGGCCGTGCTGATGAGCTCACACATGTCGGGCTGGCTGCAGGACAGGCTGGAGCTGGCCTCGCCCGTCACATCATGGACCCGGAGTGAGTGGGGAGGGGGGCGGAGTGAGTGGGGAGGGGGGTGTTCGGGCTGGGTCTGGGCGCCAGGGCCGTGCTGATGTCCTCACACATGTCGGGCTGGCTGCAGGACAGGCTGGAGCTAGCCTCGCCCGTCACATCATGGACTCGGTGACACCAGTTTTACAACAATAACGACAGTATTCATCCCTTCTGATCATCAGTCCCCTTGTTTCATGGATCTGTGCTGTTTCTGTAACTGTAGGGTAGGGCAGGGTTTCCGGCCAGTTGGAAACTGTGGAATCCCAAGAAAAAAATATCTGTATTGATTCAGTATCTGTAGCAGTGATCATGTTTTCTTTGTTCTGTCCTGCAGTGACTGAAGGTTTGAGCCTGCTGGATCACGGGATCTCCCCTTATGAAGGGGACATGTTTCACGAGGTAAGCTGGATCACGGGATCTCGCCTTACGATGGGGACATGTTTCACGAGGTAGGTCTGGATCACGGGATCTCACCTTACAATCTGGATCATGGGATCTCACCTTACGAAGGGGACATGTTTCACGAGGTAGGTCTGGATCACGGGATCTCACCTTATGCTCTAGATCACAGGATCTCACAAAGTTTCACAAGGTAAGTCTGGATCATGAGATCTCACCTTAAAATCTGGATCATAGAATCTCACCTTATGATGGAGTTAAGTATGGATCACGGGATTACAGCCTATTCTTAGAACTTGTTCCTTTATGTTATTTCATTTCACTTGGGGAAACATAACATTTTGTTTACTGGCGTGTTTCAATGTACTTTGGGGGGAACCCAAAACAACCCTACCCCAGTCGATCTGCACCGACCACGTTTCTGTGTTTCCTGTTCCAGACGCCGCTGGTCCTGATGCTGTTCTACTGCCTCAACAAGATCTGGAGCGGACTCATCCCCATCTTCTTCCTGGTCAGACCATTATGCTTAAACCTTCACTGTTCAAAGGAAAACATCATGTAGCAAGTGGCAGGACAGGGTTGGAGAGGCTGGTCACCATATATAAAAGTGTATCCCTCAGTCTGATTATGCGGCACCATAGATGATCTGAAAACCAGTTTTTTCCACACATACTCAGTTTTCTGTTCTTCTGAGTATTACACTTAAAAGACACTAGTATTGTCTGAATAAAAAAATAATACGACAATGTGTAATGATGTTAGAATGCCCCATGAACACACAAAATACCTGTATAAGCTGGGTGTTGTTTCTGTTTATTTGTTGTTGTTTGTTCCAGCTGGTTGACTTTGTGACGGCCATGTTTACTGCAGTTGTTTATGTTTATTTGTTGTTATTTGTTCCAGCTGGTTGACTGGCTGACGCCATGTTTACTGCAGTTGTTTATGTTTATTTGTTGTTATTTGTTCCAGCTGGTTGACTGGCTGACAGGATGTTTACTGCAGTTGTTTATGTTTATTTGTTGTTGTTTGTTCCAGCTGGTTGACTGGCTGACGGCCATGTTTACTGCAGTTGTTTATGTTTATTTGTTGTTGTTTGTTTGTTCCAGCTGGTTGACTGGCTGACGGCCATGTATATTGTTTACTGCAGTTGTTTATGTTTATTTGTTGTTGTTTGTTCCAGCTGGTTGACTGGCTGACAGCCATGATACTGCATGAGGTGGGCCTGGATGTCTGCAGGCATCTGGTGAGTTCAGGAGGCTGGAAAACTTCCTTTTAATATCAGTTATTTATCACGTGTAATTTTATCATCAACATCAAGTATTTTTTTTTACTACAGCTTAGTATCAAGTGTAGTTTTTCATCATCAGAGAACTTAAACATCAACAAGTGTGAGTGAAGTGTAGAGTCAAACAACAGTTCTAAATGTTAGATTTGCCTGTATAGTTTGATTTGACCTTGACCTTGCCTTGTACTTGTGTACTTTTTTATGTATATCCAGGTTTACCTGAAAAGCAGGCCGCAATGGCCAGAGTTGTAATTACTGGTAAAATAAATAAAGGGAAATATGAAAGTAAAGTGTAGACTAGAGTCAGACCACAGTTCTAAAGGTTAAACTTCACTGTCAAGTGTGGTTTGACCTTATTTATTTATTTCATCTCAAGACGGCTGAGTAGCCCCAATTCAGCTTGTATCAGCTGTTTTCCAAGGGGGCCCAACAAAATTACACAAGACACTGTAACATACAGTGAGACAACATACAGTAAACATAAAAGTCTGATTCGTCAAACAGAGTCATAGTCCTATACTCAAAGTCCTATCCGTTCAAGGTCAAAAGCACGAAAATCAAGGAATGGAGGTCAGAGGTCAGGTTTCATATGACATATGTTTCAAGCCTGCTTTAAACTGAGATAGTGTAGGTACATGTCTTAGGTCTGCTGGAAGTGTATTGAAGTGTGACCTTGTCCCGCCCCCTCCCCAGCTGGAGAAGCAGGGCCGCCATGTGAAGTCCTACTCCACAGACTCCGTGTCGCTGCTGCTGACAGGCAAACAGCTCAGCAGCGTCCCCAGGCTCGTACTCGGCACGTACGTCTGTCTTTTCTTCTGTACATGGTTTCCACTTAATATCATAATATCATAACTACCAAGTCAGATCAGAGTTAATATTTGAATAAACAATAAAATATGAATTTGTAAATGATATGAATTTGAACAGCAATGTCCCCTCTCCAGGTACCTGTGTAACCCCCTAATGATCCTCCCTCTCTCTCCTGTACAGGTACTTGTGTAACCCCCTGACGATAGCCTCCTGTGCAGCCTTCTCCACCACAGCTGTGCACAACCTGGTCATCGCCGGGGCTCTGCTGGCGGCCATCAGAGGTACGTAACAGTAGCCTGGAGCTGCAGCCTTCTTAGGGTGTTTACACCACAGGTATGTAACAGTAGCCTGGAGCTGCAGCCTTGTTAGGTTATTAAAACCACCGGTACCTAACTGTAGCCTGGAACTGCAGCCTTGCTAGGCTGTTAACCACACAGGTATGTAACTGTGGCCTGGAACTGCAGCTTTGCTAGGCTGTTAACACCACGGGTACGTAATGGTAGCCTGGAACTTCAGACTTCTTAGGGTGTTTGCACAGGTGTGCAGAACTTCGCCATTGCTTAGGACCATGAAATTTGCAAAGGACTGCAATAGATATTATCTAAAGCTCACAGCAATATAGCAAATGTCTTGTTTCCTGCAGGAAGGCGACTGGTGGCGACCCTGGCTACAGCCCTGGCCTCGTACCAGTGTGTTTACCCTGAAATCTTCATCATCCCCGTAGCCATGTACATCGCTCAGGTAAGTAAACCCTTTGCAGTGGGACAAAGGCACAGAATTACATACGTGTAGTCACACTGTTTCGCAGTAACATCGGTGTCTAGACAACACTAAACTGATTATATACTACACTGTCACTATACTACACTGGTTTTCATGTCATTTTCCTCTCAATGAAAATGTACCACACTTGAGACAACTAAGTTTTTTACCCATATGTACAGTGTTTTGCACAGTACAGTGTACTGTTATCTTGAGGCTGAATGCCCATTGCATACACATACATCAAGTTTGTTGTTAAAATGTTTTGTTACTCTCTTCCCACACAGTGTCATCAACATGATTTTTTACAGGATTCTAAGTAGCATTTCCAAGCTGAGTATTCCTCCCAAGTCCCAACTATACTAACATTACAACTAACATCCGTGTCCATAATATCACCAGGGTCCATAATATCACCACCTTGACAAAGTGTGCTTAAAGATATTTTTACTGCAACATACTTTGGGTATGCACTCCTTCACACATGAAATGTACATACCTAGGGTATGTCGCAGTAAAAATATCTTAAAGCACAAGTTGTTTCTCAAGGTGGTGATATTATGGACCCTGGTGATATTATAGACACGGATGTTATATTAACAGTAAAATCCTGTGTTCCAGCGTGAACACGGCAGTGGGTTTTCCTTCCGTGACCCTGCGTCTCGCCTGTCCCTGCTGCGGACGGTCGGCGCTCATTTCGCCTGGCTCGGGCTGCTGTGTGCCGTGTCCTGCCTGCCGTTTGGGTCCGCAGCATGGCTGTACTCAACACGGGGGTTCGTGTAAGTAGTAGTACCTAGTTGTATCCTTCCATCTCGAGAGATGATGGCAGTACTCTAGACCTGGTGTTGTGGCTGTGTGCAGACTCTAGTGTGGCTTTCCAGCCCAATCTTGGTATGGCAATCCCTGCCACGTGCAATGTTAGTACCTATTGTGTAAGTACATGAGATTGTAGTTGAATAATGGAGGATTTCTACCACCTCAGACTCTTGTGTGGGTTACCAGCCCCATCTTGGCATGGCAATCCAAGCCACAGTTAGGACACAAGAAAGTTGAGATATTTTGAAGTGTATGTTGTGTAAGTACATGACATTGTAGATGAATAAAGGAGGATTTTCACCACCTCAACCTTACACAGCCTGAACCCCTATGGGATAGAGGCAAATGGCAGGCTGCCATCAATATAGTCGTAATGTAAAAATACCTTACAGGTGAGCATAAAATTGGTGTGCAGGTGTTTCAGGATGTTTTACCTGTCTACCAGGTGTGAATGTTGATATGCAGGTATTAAAGGAAGTTTTACCTGTCCACCACACTAATATTCAGGTGTTTAAGGCTGTTTTTCTGCCCCCCCCCCCTCCAGGCTGCTGGCCCCTGACCTGACCCCCAACATGGGGCTGTTCTGGTATTTCTTCACGGAGATGTTCGAACATTTCCGCATCTTCTTCCTCTGCGTGTTCCAGCTCAACGCAGTCTTCTACGTCATTCCTCTCGCCATCAAGCTCAGGTCAGTAGTGGTAGTAGTAGTGACTACTAGTAGTAGTAGTAGTAGTTGTAGTAGTAGCACTGGTAGTACTTGTAGTAGTAGTAGTAGAAGCAGCAGCAGTAGTAGTAGTAATAGTTGTAGCAGTAGCAGCAGTAGTAATAGTAGTAGTAGCAGTAGCAGCATTAGTAATTATTATTAGTAGTAGTAGTAGCAGTAGTAGTATTAGTAGCAGTAGTAGTAGACGACGACTGTGAATGTGGTAAGTATATGAGATAATAAATGTAAGAACATGTTTGTGTAGGGACCATCCCATGTTCCACCTACTACTGGTTTAGCTGACTGCAGTGGGATGTTTAAGTGTGAATGTGTTTGAGTGTATGAGATGCTACAATATACGTGTAAATGTTTTTTCCACAGGGACCACTCCATGTTCCACCTGCACCTGCTAGTGGGTCTGACTGCAGTGTTTAAAGTGTGTTTAAGTGTACTAACAGTATGAGATGCTACAATGTAAGTGTGAATGTTTTTTCTGTAGAGACCACCCGATGTTCCACCTGCACCTGCTAGTGGGTTTGACTGCAGTGTTTAAATGTGTTTAAGTGTACAGTATGAGATGCTACAATGTAAGTGTGAATGTTTTTTCTATAGAGACCACCCCATGTTCCACCTACACCTGCTAGTGGGTCTGACTGCAGTGTTTAAGTCCTACCCGACGTTTGGAGACGCGGCCCTGTTCCTGTCACTGCTGCCGGTGTGGGGACACTGCCTCAAGTGTGAGTAGTCCTTAGTAAACTTATATCCCACTATGTAGTCCTGTTATACTGTACTGTACTGTATGTCTCAGACACTGCCTCAAGTGTGAGTACTCCTTACTTATGTCCCACTGTGTACCTGCTGTACTGTACTGTATGTCTCAGACACTGCCTCAAATGTGAGTGGTCCTTACTTGTGTTCCAGTGCACATGTATATACATGTACCTGTACAATGAACAATGGAATTTTGATATACTATATGTTACAGACAATGTGAGTAGTCCTTATGTATATCACATTAGGTACCTGTAGAAATGTGGACAATTAATGTGCTTCCCCCCCAAAGTCAGTGAAAGAGGAAGCTTGATACATGTGAAGTTTTCCACCATGTTTTCCCATTGTACTTGAATGTACAATCATTATCTAGAACTGCTGTGTGTTTCAGACATGCGTAACCTGTTCCTGGTAGAGTGCATGTGGCTGTACAGCATCAGTAGTGTGTGTGTACTGTACAGCAATACACGTGTGTGTACTGTACAGTACTGTACAGTACAGCAATACACGTGTGTGTACTGTGCAGTGCTGTACAGTAATACATGTGTGTGTACTGTGCAGTAATGTGTGTACAGTAATACATACAGTAATACATGTGTGTGTACTATGCAGTAATACATGTGTGTACAGTAATAACTGCTGTGTGTTTCAGACATGCGTAACCTGTTCCTGGTGGTGTGCAAGTGGCTGTACAGCATCAGTAGTGTGTGTGTGTACTGTGCAGTAATGTGTGTATAGTAATACATGTGTGTACAGTAATACATGTGTGTGTACGGTACAGTAATACATGTGTGTGTTTGTGTGTGTTTCAGACATGCGTAACCTGTTCCTGGTGGTGTGCATGTGGCTGTACAGCATCAGTAGTGTGTGTGTGTGTACTGTGCAGTAATGTGTGTACAATAATACATGTGTGTGTGTACGGTACAGTAATACATGTGTGTACAGTAATAACTGCTGTGTGTTTCAGACATGCGTAACCTGTTCCTGGTAGTGTGCATGTGGCTGTACAGCATCAGTAGGGTGTGTACTGTGCAGTAATACATGTGTGTGTACTGTGCAGTAATGTGTGTACAGTAATACATGTGTGTGTTTCAGACATGCGTAACCTGTTCCTGGTAGTGTGCATGTGGCTGTACAGCATCAGTAGTGTGTGTGTACCCTACAGTAATGTGTGTACGGTAATACATGTGTGTGTACTGTGCAGTAATGTGTGTACAGTAATACATGTGTGTGTTTCAGACATGCGTAACCTGTTCCTGGTGGTGTGCATGTGGCTGTACAGCATCGTGCTGGCTCCTGTCCTCTGGCACCTCTGGATCTACTACGGCAGCGCAAACGCAAACTTCTTCTACGCTGTCACGCTGGCCTACGCAACAGCACAGGTAGGGAGTCATAATCTTTAAAATGTAGCTTGGTTGAAGTAATGTTTATTATTAGCAAATGTACAGTGTCAGTGTGAATGTCATTCAGTACCAGGGACAGCAGTGTCAGTGTGAATGTTATTCAGCACCAGGGACAGCAGTGTCAGTGTGAATGTCATTCAGCACCAGGGACAGCAGTGTCAGTGTGAATGTTATTCAGCACCAGGGACAGCAGTTCAGCACCAGGGACAGCAGTGTCAGTGTGAATGCTATTCAGCACCAGGGACAGCAGTTCAGCACCAGGGACAGCAGTGTCAGTGTGAATGCTAGTCAGCTTCAGTGTTAGTATGAATGTGATTTAGACTCACACAAGTAGCATCAGTTGTTCCTTGAAGATGCAGTTGTCCTAGACGTCTTGTCCCACCTTGTCTCCCTGCAGATCTTCCTGCTGACAGACCTTCTGTACGCCTTCTTAAGACGTGAGTTCCACCTGCGCCAGGGGCCGGCGCCCAAGGAGGGGCAGGGCATGCCCATCCTCGTCAACCTCAAGTGATGGCAGTCTGTGGCCTTCTCATGTTCTTGTCGTGCTGTACAAAACTGTATCACTTGTAGCCCAACAGGATAGTCTAGTCTTTGTAGAACTATGTTTCTAACAAAACTATTGGGTGCTTTCAGAGGCAATAAAAGACTATATTTTGATAATGATGTTTGTTCTTTTCTGATTCCACCATTCCATTGAAGAGACATTCAAGCAAACCTTAAAGAATCGGTGCATTACTTTGCCTTCCAGTGTGACTTAGGACATGGTAGTCTAATACATCAGTGACAACAAGAGTCCATGTTTTGATAATGATGTTTGTTCCTTGCTGATTCCACCATTCCATTATCAGTGTCTTTGCATGATCTTATTATGTTACATATTGTTCAAAATTTGTATATTGTGTGTAAAACTGTGTCCCAAGATTTTGTATCTCAACAGATCAGATCTGTTTGTTTTAGTCCTCTGCCAGGGATACATTTCTAATAAGATGTGGAGATTTTCATTTTGATAAATGCGCAACATTAGAGGAGTTCTTTTTGTGACCGTAACATTTTCCCTTTGCATGTGATATTTATTGAAGATATCTGCTATATCCAACTGAGCTGAACTGATCCACCATATGCTATGTCTGTGGAATGTCATTTACAAATGTACCCACTCGTGGATTAAAGTCAAGATTGCGTGGAAACTTTACTGAGATATTCTTTGTACAGGATATTGAAGTCAAGAAAACCATTTCTCAATCTATTCTACTGGTGTCTTGTTCTTTATGCTGTAGCCAGTACCTCAATCTTAGCACACATATAATGTTACTGCTAGCGCTATTCATGTGATACTGTAAATTATCAAAGAACGCAACTCCAATTCAGGGCTGGCTGAAGTGGAGACTAATCTGCCATCTGAAACTTATTAAATTAAGCCGAGAAAACTTTTAAAAAATACGCAACCGTCCTACGATATGAACTAGTTTTAGTTGATGGATGCTGTTTTGAATGTCTGCCTTTTGCTCTCTTAAACCACATAAAGATTTGATTTGCTTCCTATGAGCTTTCTGATTTCACAAATACAGGGGCTCTAAAACAAGTTGAACTTCATGGCAACATTCCCGCCGCCTCCGGGTTCACCTCCTCCAGGACGACCTTGAACACCTGACGCGCGTCTCCGCCCTTAGTGCCCACGGCGTCCAGCAGTGCGCATGCGCGGTCCTGGGGCGTGGTGAGGGCCCTGATGACGTCACACTCCTCCGTACTGAGGACCTCCATGGCCTGCAGGAGGTCCAGGAGCGGCTCCACGTGCCTCAGGGCCTGCACCAGCTCAGGACGGTGCCTGGTCAGCTGGTCCGCCCTGTCCTGTGGCCCATCGGGACGCTGTGTGGCCATCAGCATGTCCGCTCTACGGGAGTCAGCCTCCCTCAGGACCGACTGGAACACCGGAAGTGCGTCACCTTCCTTCCTCCCCACGGTGTCCAGCAGTGCGCGTGCGCCATCCTGGGGCGTGTCTGCTGCACGGGGGTCAGCCTCCCCCAGGACCGACTGGATGCCGCAGGCCTGCAGGAAGGCATTGTGGGATTCCTCCCAGTATCTGGACGCCACGAGCTCCCGCTTGAACCTGGCGGCTTTCTCGAACTCAGAGTCGCTGTGCTGGAGGACGTCCACGATTCTCTTTGCCCACCTCTCGACATCAGCGGCAACATGGCGGTCGTTCACGCTGGTCTCCACGATGACGTTCCTGTGCTCTGCGCTGAGTTTCCCCTCATCAATCAGGTCGGTGATCATGTCTGCCAGGCCGGTTTGGTTGGAGATGAGGACGGGGATGCCTGCGGCGATGGCCTCCAGGCCGACCAGCCCAAATGGCTCGGAGCGGGATGGCATCAGGACCAGGTGGGCCGTCATCATGTCGTCCCTGATGTCCTCCTGGGTCCCGTACGGTAACAGGGTTGGGTTCAGGTCGGGACTGTTCAGGGCGTCTTCCAGGATCTTCTGGCTTGTCTCAAAGTCGTCCTCGTTGATGCCGCGGACACACCACCGGGAGTTCTTGATTATTTTCACCACATCCCTCATGGACTCTCCCACGAGGTCATGACCTTTCAGCTTCTCCACCTTCCTCACCCTGCCGATGGACAGGACGACCTTCTGTCGTCCCCCGGGTCTCACTTTGGCTGACAGGAACAGCTCAGATGGCTTCGGGAGGAAGATGTGGTGACTCTGAGGTTCCTTCCCTCCCCTGTACTTGTTGTCAAAGTGGTCAAAGATCCGTCTACCCACAGAGAAAGCTGCCTTTGCCTTGTCGACTTTATCAAGCATATCCTTCTCTTTCTCCCGTGCTTTCATGGCCACCCGCCCTCCCTTGTAGTACTCTGTATCTTCGGGTATGACGTGGGTGAACATCATGAGGTCTGCCTCTGGATAGCGTTTATCCTTGATGTCTCGTGCCGCCGTATCTGTGATGTCGGCGTGGCCGATGATGCAGGTGACGTCCTGAGGGAGGTTTGGGAAGTGGTGCAAGTGGTAGTGGGTCAGCCAGTCTAGAGTTGGCGCAGTCGTCAGGCCTGATGGGTCTGGCTGTATCAGGATGACGCCGTCTCTGTCTGCTGCCTTCTGGTCTTCTTTGGGTACATTAAGCTGTAGGACTGTGGCGTACACGACTGCCTTGCCCTCCAGGGTTTGGCCAGCCTCGCAGTTGACGGTAGAAACTCCCCCCTTGGAAGTTCCATACTCGTCGCTGATCAACAAGATTACGGGTTCTCTGGGACCTGCAGACAGGCGATAATAAAGACTGTATTGATCATGAAAAGTTATTCTGCAAGAAAATTACGATACGTACATGGAAACACATAGGTTTGACCATCTACACCTGTAGAAATTTGAAACTTACATGATACGTTCTACGTTTTCAGTGGCCATACTCTTACTTTGCTGGTTTCAAACCCTTCTAAATAACATATAAGAACAATGGTTATATGCTTACAACATTACCTAATGTGACTGTTCGGCTATCGGGGAATAGTTATTATAACTATTCCCCGATAGCCGATCATTAGCCATGCATTCATGTGATTACCTTGACGAATCATAGGAACATCGGTACTGCTTTCTTGTGGAGTCTTGATTTTTGGCTGAGGTGTCTGTGGCATTAGACGACTGTCTTCCTCTTCGCTTCCGCTCTCTCTTGTCGGCTCTACATCTGTAAAGCCTTCTGGCAGTTGTTCACCATTGTCGATAGCTGCTCTTTCTTTGCTGTTTCTCCGTTGTTCAGGGTCTCCTCTGGACCTATCCTTGGGGTAACGCAATGACTTATCCTCGTCCTTTCTGCACTGCAGGTCACTGACCTGTTCCGTGAACCCGAGGGAGGGATGGACGATTGTACCGCCCTCTGCTGCTGCCTTGCTGATCTCCTCCTTGCCGTAGGAGTAGAATTCCTCCCTGTGTTCCTTCAGTGCGCGAGCGCTGAGCACCTTCTCTTCTGTGCCTGTTCCTGGGCTGCACTCATCCAGCACATCAGCGATGATGTTCTCCAGCTGCTGCAGCATCTTGCCGCACTGCACCTTGTCACCCTGCGCACTCCGGACACAGATGTTGACTGCACGGCCGTCCGGAGAGAGTTTGATCAGACCTTCCACATTCCTGTCCACACACTTGGCGCCATCTCTCCACAGCAGCGGGCGATTCTCCTGCTCCCTCATCAGGCGGGACTGCACTCGGGGGAAGAACCCGGAGGAGAACATGTCAGTGGAGTCGGCACACTGGACTTGCTTCCCAAAGTAGACCGCCTTTGTTGGCTCAGATGTTGGTTTCCAAACCTCGGCATGTATGGTTTGTTTCATCAGCCCTGGGAAGATGAAGGTCTGTCCGTCATAGGAGTGGCAGAGCTGGAACTCTTGCAGCAGGGTGACGAGGAGATCCACGTCAGCAACGTCTTGGAAGACGCGCTGGATCTCCTCCCTGGTGACGTAGTCTTCGCTTGTTCTCTCTGGGCGGAGGATGGGGAAGTTGACTGGAGCCATCATTGGACCGAAGATGTCTGTGCAGAGCCAGTTGGGCTTCAGGACAATGATGGGATCAGAAGCAGTCGAACAGGTGAAGATGACCTTTAAAACAAAAGATTATTCATTTATTCATCAAGTAAATTCCGTTAGTTGCAGGCTAGTAGGTCAAATCAAATTAAAACACAGATTCATAGTGTAACGATTTAATTGAAGACTTGTATTTTATGATGTGCACAAAAACTACAGGATCTGCTTTTTAATTTTTTTTTTATATTCAGACGTTTTTCCTACCTCCCCCAGATGGTTCAGAAATCGTGTAGACTTCCGCAGGAAGTCCTCATCCACATGTGGGTCGATCTCTTTGACTGCGTCCACGTAGTCTGGCCACCTCAGTACAGGGCACTTCGGGCTGCACTTCGTCTGGCACCAGCTGGGCAGCCGTTGGGTGATTTTTGAACACAGTCTGGGCATCTGGCGTTGGTGCTGTGCAAGTTGTAAATGCAAATACATGACTGGTCATTTATTGCAAATGTTGGCAATGCTTTGTCTCGTATCAGCTGCTAAACTATCATAACACACTTACCTCTAACATGGCCTTCTTCATCTTAGCCAGCAGCTCCTTGAGTCGGTCCATCTCAGGTGTTCGCGTCTTCTTACAGTTCATCACGAAGACTTCGTCTGAGATACGGAGGAGATCTTTGAACTCCGCTTTCATCAACTGCAGGAGATGAGCAGCTTGGCGCTGTCCTGAACGTTATGAGCAAAGCGAAACGTAAATGAGTCTTTTAGTCTACAAATGCCATTATGCTAAATATTTTACAGGTTTGTGCATTTATCACACTGCATACGTAGCACTGCATAATGCATTGGTAAAGTATACACATTGCTTTGCTTATAACATGAAGTTGGATATGTAGTCTTGGATACCCTACTCACCACTTGTGGGTGACACTTTGTCGGCATGGCTGGCCACTAAGATGACGTCACGCTGCCGGTTTGGGTTGCAGGATTTGATGAAACTCAGCCACCGGTGGACCTGGAGCCGAACATTCAACAACTGATGTACATGCTTGTATAGAACTTTTCTGGACAAATGATGAGAACATTTCGATAACATGGACCTGGAGCCAAATATTCGACAAATTTACATGGTTGCCTGACCTGCTTTTTTTACTTTTTATTTTATTTATTTATTTTTGACCTGTTTTGGACAAATGATATGAGAACATTAAAAATATTCCATTAAAAAATAGGCCTTGCAGGTCAACATCAATTGCTTATTATATCGTACAATTCACAATTCCTTATTTTTTGCAGATTTAAAAAAAATCAGTTTAATGCTCAAGTGCTGTTTACGTCTTGTTCTTTGGTGTCGTCCATGATGTTGTACAGCACAATGGAGATGGTGTTCTCTGCATCCATGAACATGCTGTGGGTTACCGCGTACTCCGACTGCCCAGCAAAATCCCACAGGCTGACCTCCCCCACCCCTGGAATATGGAACGTCCCAACATCCACCCCTGGGGTGGGGTCGTGAAGCTCCTCGGCTGACGACGTGTAAGTCCAACCTTGGAGATGTGCAGACACCCAGCCCTGTTGGACAGCATTAGATTTAAATTATTAGATTTTAACATCAATATAAAAAATTCTGTCCTATCAGCCTGAGAAATCGTATCTATTTGATGTATTTTTCTCTTGAAACGAGTTTGGTAGGATTTATGGAACAAGCGAAAGGGTTCCTACTTACCCTTTGAAGACTTTCTGCAAGTGTGGACTTTCCCGCTTTCCCCATCCCGAACAAGGACACCTTACACCTGTCGGTCTTCACTCCGCCAGACTTCTGCAGCAACTCGCTGTACAACTTCTCTTTGATCACTTCCTTTTCCCGATTCTTGTGGCAGGTAGGAAAACCAAACGCAGAGTAAGCCTCAAAATTGGCGATATTATCAATGGTTTATTTGCATTAAAACACAACAACATTGTCCCAAAAATGGCAGCCAGAGGCTGAATTGACATTGGGGCATCACATTATTAGTATATATATAAAATGTCATATTAAGCGATTAAAATAGAAATAAGCCATTACATAAAATGTATATAAAATATTGTCAACAACGTTTCAAGTGTAAATTAATATCGTAGCAGATAACAAAACAGACGAGATAACAAAATATTGATCAACAGGTTCGAGCAATAATACGGATAGCAACACAGTCCCAACTATTTATCAGTTTTCTTTGCTAGCACAGCAGTTACATCCTGATTAACCGGAAACTTAGAGGAGTAAAGACACACAGATCCATGAGAATATTGTTCACCTTTAGGACACGCAGAGTCTCCTTGCCGTGCGCCACATCAGAAGGTGTCCGTCCGTCCTGTACAGGGAGGCATCAGAAATCTGTCACTCTCCATGTGTAACCAGCAATGTCCAATGTCCGGTATAACCGCCTTTCGGTGTAGCACACCGGCTTCTGTACCTGTATAGCCGGTATAACCGCCCTTTGGCGTAACACAGTCCAGCTTATGTATCTGTATAGCCGGTATAACCGCCCTTCGGCGTAACACACCAGCTTCGTGTTCATGCCTGTTTCCTAACATGGGCACAAAGCTTTTGATGCACAAGCATTTTTTAAAAAATTCACATGGACAAACGTGTGTACGTATGGTATATGCATTATTTTTAATGTCATAAACATGCATGTAATCTATAGGGTCCATTTGAGCCAAGTGTGTATTACCTCATCCCTGGCCGTCACGTCTGCCCCATGACGGATCAGAAGCTCACAAGTCCCGGTGTGGCCCCGGGCAGCAGCCAGATGCAAGGGTGTTTCCTGGTCCTGTACAGGGGGGAAGGTTAGGGTCAGTAGGGATGGTTCAACACGGGCAGCAGGTATCGTATTGGTAAGAAGCAGTATGAGCTACATGTAAAGTTGTGTATGTCAACAAAAGTTCCTGAAACCCCTGCAATGGATCCGTCATACCTGATCAGGTATACTTTTATATTGATCTTATGCCGCATTCATGCCCTTTTCCTGTATTATCTGTCGCCTTAGTATTTGTCTATTTATGTTGTACCAAATGAGTACATAATCAGGTAATGTTTGTTATTGTTTCTATCTGCTCCACATCCATGTATATGTAATCTGTAGGGACCATTTGAGCTAAGTGTGTATTACCGAATCCCTGGCCGTCACGTCTGCCCCATGCCGAATCAGAAGCTCACAAGTCCCGGGGTGGCCCTCCACAGCAGCCTGATGCAAGGGTGTGTTCTGGGCCTGTACAGGGAGGAAGGTCAGGGTCAGTAGGGACGGGAAGTGACGTACACGTACATTTCCGCTCATCAACTTCAGGTGAGGTTTATGGGTTAAAAGAGGCTAATTTATGAATAAAGTTTGTGCATGTTCGGGTTGGTTCGATATTTCAGCAACACAACTGCTCCTGACTTCACGTTCCCGCCAGACTCGCCATTTACTTTAAGACTTTGGTATAATCTGAGTCTTATTTAAGCAGCCAATATAACCGCCGTTCGGCGTAAGACACCAGCTTAGCAAGCACGCCGCTGGCTATGTCACAGCGAGTAAGGTCGCACCTAAACCATGTATAGTATGATGTAATGCACTGTACAGTACATTTATGTAACTTAACTAACTTGTTACATTGAAGGTTGGATTGTGAAGTTTGTATTTACTGATTACTGGTACAGAAATGGGCATGTTTAAGGCTGTTTTTTTTAAGAAATAAGAAAAAACATCCTAGTTCTTTAATTGCCCTGGCGAAGGTATGTTTTTTATCATAGGCACAGAAGTGTGTAGTGTAGTAGACATGTAGTCAATGACATATCATGATCAAGTTCACATTCATGAATTTCTGGAGTTCATTTAAAACAAGTGTGTATTACCGTATCCCTGGCCGTCACGTCTGCCCCATGACGAATCAGAAGCTCACAAGTCCCGGTGTGGCCCCCCTCAGCAGCCAGATGCAAGGGTGTTTGCTGCTTCTGTACAGGAGGGAAGGTCAGGGTCAGTAGGGATGGGCTCAACATGAACAAGTTATCACGTGGGTAAGAAGCAGTATGTGTTACATCAACAGTATGGCTTTAAACCAGTTGTCACTTGTATCTCTGTACAACAGACGCCAGGAACTATGTACGAAGTTTGCTACTTCCATATCAAACTCAACGACCTTCTCTATCTGGCTTCCCCCAAAACGTGTGAGCCTTCATGGCAGGAACCTCAGATCCAAAAACCAGATAAAACAGTTTAAATGTAGGACGGAACGATATAGAAAGAGCACATTGCCGTTCTTAGTGGACCTGTTAAACGCCGAACAGCCCAAGACAGTCCTCGAGTAACACATGTATATTTATATTTATACTACTGACTGACTTTATAAAACTGACTTGTTTTTCTTAGAGAATATGATTTATAGCGCTGGAGTTAGAACTAATGCCGTTATCTTGCGCTGATTTTAACAGTTGTCCCTTGTGGTTGTTTGCCTAATGCTACGTTACCTAAGTTTCACTGAGTGGAGCTTTTTAACAATGTAATGTAAATCATACATCATTTCAGCCGATAATGGCTGCTACTGTATGTTTTGTACGATGTGTAGTTTGTATCGAAAACCATTCATTCAAAAGTTCCTGAAACTCCTGTTATATATATGGATCCGCCATATATATACCTGATCTGGTATGCTGTAAGTAATATTGATTTTATGCCACATTCATGCTTGTTTTCTGTTATCACCTATTTATGTAATCTGCAGGGTCCATTTGAAACAAGTGTGTATTACCTCATCCCTGGCCGTCACGTCTGCCCCATGACGGATCAGAAGCGCACAAGTCCCGGAGTCGCCCTTCACAGCAGCCAGATGCAAAGGTGTGTTCTGGGCCTGTACAGGGGGGAAGGTCAGGGTCAGTAGGGATGGGTTCAACACGGACAACAGTTATCATGTGGTTAAGAATCAGTATGGGCTGCAAGTTAAGTTGTGTATATCAACAAAAGTTCCTGAAACCCCTGCAATGGATCCGTCATACCTGATCAGGTATACTGTATATTATATTGATCGTTATGCCACATTCATGCCTGTTTCCTGTATCATCACATTGATCTTTGTCTATTTATGTTGTACCTATATATAATGAGTACCTAATCAGCTAATGTCTGTATTATTGTCTGTATCCCTGTTCCAAATCCATGTAATCTGTAGGGTCCATCTGAGACAAGTGTGTATTACCTCATCCCTGGCCGTCACGTCTGCCCCATGACGGATCAGAAGCTCACAAGTCCCGGTGCGGCCCTCAGCAGCAGCCCGATGCAAAGGTGTGTTCTGGGCCTGTACAGGGGGGAAGGTCAGGGTCAGTAGGGACGGGTTCAACACGGACCACAGGTATGACATGGGTAGGAAGCATTTAAGTTGCAGTTGGATACATCAACAATAGGTTCTTAAAAGTCCTGCTATGGACCCACCATACCTAATAATAAACTGAATAACTAATTAGGTACGCTGCTTATTGTATCGATATTATGCCACATGTATTATTGATAAAACTTGAAACTTACTGTAGGCTAGTTTTGTACTACCTTATATTTGTTTATTCATACTGTGCCTAGTCAGTATGTTTATACCATTTCCTATATCTCTGTTTCAAATCCATGTAATCTGTAGGGTCCAGTTGAAACAAGTGTGTATTACCTCATCCCTGGCCATCACGTCTGCCCCATGACGGATCAGAAGCTCACAAGTCCCGGTGCGGCCGTCAGCAGCCAGATGCAAGGGTGTGTACTGGTCCTGTACAGGTGGGAAGGTTAGGGTCAGTAGGGATGGGTTCAACACGAACAGCAGTTATTACGTGGGTAAGAAGCAGTATGAGGTGAAGTTCCGTCGATGACCAACAGGTCCTCAATAGGTTCTCAGCTACGAACCCGCCATTCCGTGACAGGTTCAAACGATTGATTTTTATTTTGATCAGAGAACATAAGCAATTTAAACGCGGGATAGGAGGCTACACTGAAGTTAAATCATTTATATCACAACACTAAAAAGTAACAGGTGAAGTAAAGAAAAAAAGAGGGAACAAACCTACGCGGGTTGAATATTTACCGGATTGATGTTCATGAAATCCAAGTAAAGTAGGATAAATCAAGGTAACGAGTGTAAAGTGAAAGTGACACTACAGATAGCTATTACCACCTCACACATGTGTAACAGAAGAGTGGCTAGTCGGCTCAAATCTCTTCGTGTCTCTTGATTCAAAACCTCTGAGTCTGAAGAGGACTAAATTGCACCTCTAGCGGCCCGCCCGATTGACCGGCTCTCGCTCTTGGCATCACTGATACGTCTGAATCAGAAACATCATTTTTTTTTTTATTATTCATCAAAACATACAGACATAACAAGGACAGTGTGACGCTGCACTCAAGTTAACAACTTATATTAACAGCGCCACACACAAAAAAGGTACAATTAACATTTAAATATACAAAGTTGACATGTGCGCCGTAGTCCCACCACCCCAAGACATTAAAATATTAAATTAAATGCTAACAGAGCTATTTGAAAGATAAGATTACATGGTAACCTCCTATATCTCATTGGCGAAAAAACATCCGCCAATCAGAGCTAGGAGGAGAATTTAGGCCCATTAACACTTACGTAGTATTTGGACTTCTATATCTAATTGACTGTTAGAAACAGTCAAGCAGAGCTAGAAGCGCTTGGTATCTCCAATGTAAACCTGGGTGAGTTGCATCGTTTTAAAGTTGTACATAGAGGGTAACAATGAGGAGCCTCTAAGAATAAAGTGCAGTTTAGCATTATCTGACATATTATTAAGGTTGACAAGATGACCAAGTAAATCTGCAAGATTGCCAAAAAGTTCCGATCTCTCATTATTGTATAATGGACAATGTAGCATGAAGTGTATGACAGATTCGCAACGACACCCGCATCTACAAGAGGCACTGGTAGAGAGTCCTCGGGTAAACAAACTGTGATTGAGAGAACAGGTGCCGATGCGGAGCCGAACAAGAAGGGCGCAGGTGTAACGGGGGCCACAATTGTGATGTGGGGGACAAAGGGGGCGTACTAATCTAATAAGGTGTTTTCGGAACAAGGAGTATCGTAAAGAACGAACTTCCAGGTCAAGTTCATTCCAATGACTTAAACAATAGGGTATAAAAGATCTACTAAACCTATTAGTAAATTGTAACGAAAGTCGAAAGTCGTTACTATTTCTTAAATTGTACAGAGTGGTTTGAGAAATTTCAGGGGGGATTAAGTCAAAAAGATATCTCCGTGTTAGGCCATTGACTATTTTATGAAATAAAAATAAGCGATGAAAATGCCGTCTGCTAGAAAGAGACTCCCAACCCAGTTCTTGACAAACAGATAAGTAAGACGAGCCTTTAACTGCTCCTGAGACGATAAGAGAACATTCATATTGGATTCTTTCAACAAGAGCGGAGTCTTCAGCAGTACAGCCATGCCAGATCACATCTGCATACTCCAAACAGGGACGGACAAACATCATTTTGAAATCCAGTTTCGAGGGTATCATAATCAATCCTTACTCAAACGTTTTTTGAGTTAATTCTATTCAGATTCAGTTACAATGATAGGTAATAGTGCTATCATTGTTTAGTCATGTGTCCTTTAATAAATACAACCTCCAAGGTGGTTAACATTTCATCGGGTAGAATCTAAATAGTTGCGTATCTGTAGGCGCGGCGTCAGAACAAATGTTATGTCTGAAATAGAAAGTTGTGGGCAAAACTTTCACTTTTTAAACTTCACATGGCACCTACTCACGTGTTTTTATCTTCCTGAATTTTCCAGAGAACATTTTCTTACCTTCCAGAGAACATTTTCTTACCTTCTCTTCCAGAGAACATTTTCTTACCTTTCTAAGACTGAGTGGAGAAACCTGACACAGAAACCACGAGTCACTTTGTCAGGGTTCAGGTCAGGAGAAGTCAGGACTGAGTTATTTCTACTTACCCGGTTCCTCGCCTCCAGGTCGGCACCGTGTTCGATCAGCAATGCCGCCACTTCAGTCTGCCCGGACCCGCTGGCCACATGCAGGGATGTCTGGTCAAGCTGGATAGAACAGCATTCGGAACGATAACAGGTTACAAAACGACTGTATGAGCCACACGTTTATAGAACATTATATCACTCAGAATGGAGATATTAGGGAAATATGACAAGGACACCACGAGTCATCCTGTCAGGGTTCAGGTCAGGAGAAGTCAGGACTGAGTTATTTCTACTTACCCAGCGGTCCCTCGCCTCCAGGTCGGCACCGTGTTCGATCAGCAATGCCGCCACTTCAGTCTGCCCGTGCTCGCTGGCCACATGCAGGGATGTCTGGTCACGCTGGACAGAACAACAGTTGGGACCGTAACCGGTTACAAAGCGGCTGTATAGGCCGTGCGTTTATAGAACATTATATCACTCAGAATGGAGACATGACAAGGGAACCACGAGTCACTCTGCAGGTTCAGGCCAGGAGAAGTCAGGACTGAGTTATTTCTACTTACCCAGTCCCTCGCCTCCAGGTCGGCACCGTGTTCGATCAGCAATGCCGCCACTTCAGTCTGCCTGCGCCAGCTGGCCACATGCAGGGATGTCTTGTTATGCTGGATAGAACAACAGTTGGGACGATAACCGGTTACAAAACGACTGCTTCAGCCATACGTTTATTGAACATTATAATTTCACTCAGAATGGAGATATTGTAGAAACTTGACAAGGGAATCACGAGTCACACTGTCATGGTTCAGGTCAGGAGAAGTCAGGACTGAGTTATTTCTACTTACCCAGTCCCGCGCCTCCAGGTCGGCACCGTGTTCGATCAGCAATGCCGCCACTTCAGTCTGCCCGGACCCGCTGGCCACATGCAGGGATGTCTGGTCATCCTGGATAGAACAACAGTTGGGACGATAACCGGTTACAAAGCGGCTGTATAGGCCGTGCGTTTACTCAAAATGACACATCCCGGGGACCTGACAGCTTTTCTTACCGAAAGAAGTATATGCAGGATGATAATTATCTAGTGTTGTTTGTTCTGTCCACCGCCTTATCAGAGCAATTTCATAGCTTTACTTTGATTGTCAAAACGGTTTACAATTCAGTTACGGATCATTTAAGCAATGAGTGTTCATCATATTAGATTTTTTTCAACATTTAAATAATACAGTAATTCAGCTTATAAGCAAAATGGCTTATATCAACGGCGCCACTTAATAAAAATTTGATAAATCTAACGGAAATATGTAACAGGAAAATTAATGTCTGATACAGATACAGAGCTGGACAAATGAACAACAGTAACAAGGTTGGACTACGAGTCTGTAACCTTGTATGAACTAACAGTTTGCTTACCCATAGTCGCCATGTCCTCGTGACCCTGATGTCCACCCCAGCGTCCAGCCCCCTCCTCACAGTCTGCACGTCACCAAACTCCACAGCCGTGAAGAACGTGTCCAGGTCCATCTTCTCACTACCTGCTGGGGGTGACATGGCAGTTCAGCAAGCTTACAGTGGACAACGTACTTGGTCTATACACATATTAACTAACGTTTGCAATGATAGTGTATGTATGTTTAAGTATCATAATTCGGGATTTAACCGACGTTTTCACTATCAGAGTTCAAACTTATCTTTAAAACTTCCTAAAGTCCGATTAGAATCTGGCCGAAGAGAGTTTGCGTATAAGGGAGCATTTGCCTGGAACGGCCTACCTGCCACAGTTAGAGTGGCCACGTCTTACCTGTCGTTTAAGAAGCTTTTGAAGCAACACTGCTGACCTCTGACCTCCTGACCTTGGCCTGGCTTAACGACACTGATTTACGATAAACGATTTTGTTTTGACGCTTGGTTATTTTGTAAATTTATGTATTATTATTATATTGTTTAATGTGTTGGTTTCATTGTTTTCATGTGTCACTTGTTACTGGGCATTCCTGGAAAGCAGTGGTTTTAAATAGCCCTGAGGTTTCTATCCAGTTTAAATAAAACAGAAATAAAAATAAATAAATAAATAAATAAATAAAGAGTTTCTTAAATGTAAATATGTTTTAGAGCATTTGCTAACTACTTCATTTAGCTTCTCACGTTGTAATCATATTAATCGGATAACTAACTCCAAAAATAAAATTGAAATTGTTTATATGACAAAAATGGAATAAAATTCTCATTAACAAGCGAATGGAAATAAAGCTGAACAGCATCCTGCATTTAGCATAATAATAGGTCCGGTACTAGTTCATCAAGACGCGGTATCCTTGCAGGCATGTAAGCAAGGCATGGCAAGATAGATCAACCGGTTGTCTTTTCAACAGCGCCCTTTGCGGTGGGTTTGTAAATTGCACCAGCTAAAGTAGCTTCCATAGCATCTCTACTGCGCCCTGTGTTTTCATTTTCTGGACTTTCTGACATGCGCTGTTTTCGGATGCCACAATATCGAAATGGGCCCTTATTTCAACAACAACTGTCTTCTATAGTACCAACAGTAAAGGCTACTATGGAGGCTATTAATAAAGGCCTTGAATGTATGAGTGTACAGGGACACATTGTCGCTTGTAGGTCCTAGTACTCGCTACAACAACAACAGCAACACGGTCTTAACTTTGCTAGTCACCATTGTACCGGGGAGGCAGAAAATGTAAAACTATGATACCTTATCACGTATAGGTGGCGACACTTAACTGGACGCCTCATTCTTTTCGAACCTTACAAAGTGACGTAGTTTTGTTACTCAATCAGGTATATCAGACGTCACATGTCAAACCTTGACTGTTAAGGAAGACAGAGAACTGAGTTGATCTGGTTTATTTGATCACACTCATAAGATAAACCATCGCGGCACAAGCGCTGAATTGGAGTGTACTTCACAAGACAAAAGTATTAACGCAGCGTAATATGTACATGAAGAAAGACGTACGCCGGGGTCTATGTTCGAGTTCCTAAGCTTCCTGCCACGTGAATCGCCACGACTTAAAACTTAGAAGCAGCCAAGTGAGGGTCCTAGACTACAGTAGGGATTTGACAAGCTTTAGGAGGTGGTTTAACGTCTTTAATACATACAAACATACATACATACATACATACATACATACATACATACATACATACATACATGCATACATACATACATACATGCGGGGATGGAGGGGAGGGTGGTAAAACCACACGTCAGGAGGGCAGACATGTAATCATCTGACATGTTTGCACCTTACCTTCAGCCATAGTGAATCAGGCAGCTGTTCCTGGGATCCCTGGTGTTGGTCAATCCGCCAAATTGAACCAGAAGAGCGAAAATCCCAACATGGCGGACAGAGTACCACCTTGGCAGTAAACAGAGACACCATTGTACCGACGACAAAACAGGTTTAACCAGGTATAACCGGAAACCGTGACCCCCGGTGACCCGCCCCGTGTTTGTCGCCCATTGAACCGGCATATTCAGGTTTACACGGGTTGTTCTAAACTCCAGCCATGCATGGTGGATCAGGTGCCTGTTAACGGGGTCCATGCATGGTGGATCAGGTACCTGCTAACGGGGTCCATGCATGGTGGATCAGGTACCTGTTAACGGGGTCCATGCATGGTGGATCAGGTACCTGCTAACGGGGTCCATGCATGGTGGATAAGGTGTTAACGGGGTCCATGCATGGTGGATAAGGTACCTGTTAACGGGGTCCATGCATGGTGTTGTTTATCCGCTGAGTTAAGCGTGTCACTGGAGACGGGGAAGAGCCAAACTTTACACTTATATAATGCACAGGTTGATCCTTTATAACAACACTTTGACGGTATTTGTCGTCCAACTCTGAGTTGTTAAAATCACTACGTGCCGTGACACGCGCGCGCAGGGAAAGGTAAAATAGCGGTGGAACAGAGAAAACCACACAGAGAGAACTCTCAGACTCGCGCTTTTTAGTTGGGCTCGTCCAATTTTGTACCGGTCTGCTAAATGTATTAAGGTTATCGTCATATTTCACGGTGCGGGCGTTACAGTTAATCAGGCTTACGGCCAGTCGTGCATACATGTCACTTATCGGCCATGTCAAACCAAAACAGGAGGTTCGTTTTATAACTCCCCGAAAAATGACGGTTAAAGTCACTTTCCTGATGCGTGTTTTCGTTGCAACAAATACCAAACATGTTTGTTTCTTTGGTAAATAAGAAGTAATAATAAATCCCCCCCCCCTCTCGTTAAGACCGAGACATCCAGCATCGTTTCACCTGCGGTATGCTAATTGTTAGCAAAAATACCAAAACACCACCAGCTGTATTCAATATTCTTTGACCAACCATATGATATACCTGCCCTATGTTGTTGTTGTTGATGTTGTTTTTTTTTGGGGGGGGGGATGAGGATGTCGTTCACAAAATCAAGTCAGCGTCGCCTCAACGACAGACGGAAACGAGAGGCATTGTGAAGCTGTTTTTAAACTTTTGAGCCATTTGGCCTTTGCTTACCCAAACGAAGTACAGAAACGGCTTTATTTGAATTTCACAGGTTTATTGTATTCAATCCGTCACCATCTGTTATACATGGTGCACTGAAGTTAGCTGAAATGCTAGATGAAAGCATTATTCACATGATGTCATTTCACTGTGCCATTATTGTATCTGCCACTCATACCACGATCTCAACACAATTTACATCAATTCAGCCTCAGAATGTCAAAACGTTCCCATCCTTTGTGACTGACAAGTTTACCTGACAGCAAAATGAAAAAAAAAATAAAGCAGATTGCAGAAGACATCTATACAATGTAATCGGTAATGTTATAGATGACAATTTGATAATACACGTCACAGTGTTCTATGGGAATGTACTCACTAGTCAGTCATTTACAATATTGAATCAGAAAAACATAATTTGTCACATTGTCATCAGCCTGTTGTTCTTATTGTTGTGCTCTAGACCACTGAGAATGTTTCTAAAGAAGCCATTTGGTAAAATACAAAGAATTATGAGAAACTTGGTAAATTTTACAATCAGCTTACTGTACTGCTTTTTATCTGTATTGTTATCTACCTGCATTGTAGAGAGTAGCTTTGCACCAATGATTATACCAGTATCCAAACATTATATCAATATCCAAAGATATACCAGTATCCAAAGATTATATCAGTATCAAAGATTATATCAGTATCCATGCCACAATTTGCAAAAAAGAAGCCCTGTTACTTAGGTTTTAACAAAGATCGGAAAAAGTCCTAGAAGTTAAACATGAATATATCAGTATTACACAATTTCCTATGCCATATGTCAAATGTAGCTGGTAATCACCAGTACCTTTAGTTACTAGTAGTTTAAGTTTAAACGTTTGTTATCAATTGAGGAACAATTGGGCTGTAGCCTTTATCTTGATACAAAATTAGTATTCTTCAATCTTATTCAAACATACACAGCCAAGGCTAGGCCATTGTTATCCGTATGACATGGCTGCCACCAAGCCGCACAGAGCTAAAATGTAGGTTGGCATTCTTGCCCCCACGAGCAAAGTTCCAATAGGAACATCTCACACCACCATCTCTGCCAGATGCGGGGTGACCTCCTCCAGGGCTTCCCTGAGCACCTGACGCGCAGCCGCGCCCTTCCGCCGAACGATGTCCAGCAGCTCCCTTGCCTTGTCATGAGGTGTTCTCTTGGCCCTGATGATGCCGCATTCCTCTTCACTGATGTGGCCACGCGACAGGAGATGGTTCAGGATTGTCTCCACGGCGTAGGATGACGTCAGGTCCCGGATCAGCCCTGGCCGGTTCCTGATGAGCGGGTCGTCTTCTTCACACAGCAGAGCTCCGGCGCCATCTTGGACCATCGCAGCAGCATGCGGGTTTACCTCTTCCAGGACTGCCGTGAACTCGCGACGTGCACGCTCGCCCTTTCTTCCCACGATGTCCAACAGTTCCCTCGCCTTGTCCTGGGGGGTTTCCTTTGCCCTGATGCGGTCGGGTTCGTCGTCACCGAGAATGCCACATGCCAGGAGGCGGTCCAGGATTGGCTCCACGTGTCGCAAGGCCTGGACCAGCTCTGGGCGGTTCCTGGTGAGCGGATCCTCATGCTCTCTACACAGCAGGTCACTGACCTGTTCCGTGAACCCGAGGGAGGGATGGACGATTGTACCGCCCTCTGCTGCTGCCTTGCTGATCTCCTCCTTGCCATAGGAGTAGAATTCCTCCCTGTGTTCCTTCAGTGCACGAGCGCTGAGCACCTTCTCTTCTGTGCCTGTTCCTGGGCTGCACTCATCCAGCACATCAGCGATGATGTTCTCCAGCTGCTGCAGCATTTTGCCGCACTGCGCCTTGTCACCCTGCGCACTCCGGACACAGATGTTGGCTGCACGGCCGTCCGGAGAGAGTTTGATCAGACCTTCCACATTCCTGTCCACACACTTGGCGCCATCTCTCCACAGCAGCGGGCGATTCTCCTGCTCCCTCATCAGGCGGGTCTGCACTCGGGGGAAGAACCCGGAGGAGAACATGTCGGTTGAGTCGGCACACTGGACTTGCTTCCCAAAGTAGACAACCTTTGGCTCTTGAGTTGGTTGCCAAACCTGGCCAGGCATGGTTTGCGTCAGCAGTCCTGGGAAGATGAAGGTCTGTCCGTCATAGGAGTGGCAGAGCTGGAACTCGTGCAGCAGGGTGATGAGGAGATCCACGTCAGCAACGTCTTGAAAGACGCGCTGGATCTCCTCCCTGGTGACATACATGTAGTCATCGCTCTTCGGGCGACTTCTCCTGAGGTGGATACTGAACGTCTTCGGCGCCATGGTCGGGCCGAAGACGTCTGTGCAGAGCCAGTTGGGCTTCAGGACAATGATGGGATCAGAAGAACTCGGACAGGTGAAGATGATCTTTAAAACAAAAGGTTAATTATTCCACATGAAATCAATTCCATTTTAGGCAGTAGGTCGGTGCAAACTGGACAACCAAATTATACAAAATCCAATGATTTAATTTAAGCGTTGGATGTATGTCGTGTACAGACTTTTGTTAAGTTTTAAGACTACAGGAACTGCTTCTTTGTTTTTATGGTCAAAAGCTTCTCACAAGTTGGGATTTATCTATTAGTTATTCGTACAACGGCCTGGGTAGCCCATGGCAACTAGTCGTAGACAGGGGCAGCCCTGAGAGAAAATAGAATAGTTTAGGTATACGTATACATACATACAAATACAATAAGGTACACAGTCCAAAAAAACATGTAGGGATAGCCTACCTCCCCCAGATGGTCCAGAAATCGTGTAGACTCCCGCAGGAAGTCCTCATCCACATGTGGGTCGATCTCTTTGACTGCGTCCACGTAGTCTGGCCACCTCAGTACAGGGCACTTCGGGCTGCACTTCGTCTGGCACCACTTGGGCAGCCGCTTGATGATCTTTGCGCACAGTTTGGGCATCTGGCGTTGGTGCTGTGCAAGTCGTAAATGCAAGTCCATGACTGGTCATTTATTTTAAATGTGGTCAAAATAATGCATTATCAAATATCACCAGCTAAACTATCAAAATACAACCTTCTGCACTATTATTACACACTTACCTCTAACATGGCCTTCTTCATCTTAGCCAGTAGTTTCTTGAGTCGGTCCATCTCAGGTGTTCGCGTCTCCTTGCAGTTCATCAGGAAGACTTCGTCTGAGATACGGAGGTGATCTTGAAATTCCGCTTTCATCAACTGCAGAAGGTGAGCGGCTTGACGTTGTCCTGGATGTTTTGAGCAAAGCGAAACATAGATGAGGATTGGCACGGATCATAATATTGCATTTAATATAGGGGTACAAATACATGTACATGCTTAATCTTTTACAGGTTACATGTTTAATGCATTCAGCACACAGCATACATATCACTCCATAATGTATCATACGTATACACATTGCTTTGCTTCGTTCACTTATAACATGGATTTATTGGAATACCGTACTTACCACTTGTGGGTGGCACTTTGTCGGCATGGCTGGCCACTAAGATGACGTCAGGCTGCCGGTTTGGGTTGGAGGATTTGATGAAACTCAGCCACCGGTGGACCTGGAGCCGAACAATTAACAGCTAATTGACATGGTTGCCTAGACCGGCTATGAAGAAATGATATGAGAACATGTTAAAAACATTCCATTAAACTGACCTTGAGATCATATCATATTGTACAATGAACAATTGTGTATGGTCATTTATGCAGATTAAAGTTTAATTCTGAAGTACTGTTTACGTCTTGTTCTTGGGTGTCGTCCATGATGTTGTACAGCACAATGGAGATGGTGTTCTCTGCATCCATGAACATGCTGTGGGTTACCGCGTACTCCGCCTGCCCAGCAAAATCCCACAGGCTGACCTCCCCCACCCCTGGAATATGGAACGTCCCAACGTCCACCCCTGGGGTGGGGTCGTGAGGCTCCTCGGCTGACGACGATTTTCTCAGTCCTTGGAGCAGTGCTGGCACGGTGCCCTGTTGGAAAGACGTTACCTAATTAACTCTGACGTCTTAACTGAAATTTGCTATCTATTAGACTAAGAAATCTACTATTAATTAAATTGAGTTTTCTCTTGAAACGAGATCGGCAGGACTTATGGAACAAGGGAAGTTCCTACTTACCCTTTGAAAACTTATCTTGAGTGTGGACTTTCCCGCTTTCTCCATCCCAAACAACGACACCTTACACCTGTCGGTCTTCACTCCGCCAGACTTCTGCAGCAACTCGCTGTGCAACTTCTCTTTGATCACTTCCTTTGGCAGATTTTGGTTGGAGGTAAAACAAAGAGAGCGTAAGTACATAATAAGCGTCCCAACTATTCATAAGTTTTCTTTGCTAGCACCAGCAGTTACATCCTGATTAACCCAAAACTTAGAGGTGTAAAGACACTCCTCTTGTCACAGATCCATGAGAATATTGTTTACCTTCAGTAGACGCCGAGTCTCCTCATCGCGCGTTAGATCAGAAGGTGTCCGTCCGTCCTGTGCAGGGAGACATCACAGAAATGCGTCACTCTCCATGTGCAACCAGCAATGTCTAACGATGACACCAAAACAATCATGGCTTAATCAAATATCGGTGCGACTTGTGAACGGCTGTTATTGTAAGTTATACTCTAAGTTATGTAAGTTAAATATTAACATCATGTGCATATATTGTTATAAATTATGAAAATAATAACCTAATCTGCATAAATAATGGGAAAATTTCATACTTGATGAATTACTTGTAGCCCCAAACCATGCACAGCAATAGTGCAACCTAGCAATGTCTAACGATGACACGAAACTATCAAGGCTTGGTCAAATATTGGACAGGTGCGACTTGTGAACGGCTGATATTGCAAGTTACACTCTCCCCGTCCTCACTTCTGGGCTAACAATAAGCGGGGGATTACGGTCTGATCGGCAGTAGTATGGCGGAGGTTACTCATGTTGAAGGTGGGGGTCCGCTACTGGAGCATTCCCGTGTCTGACCACATACAAGCATCCCTCCTGAGCACTCAATGTACCACCTCGTGTTGCATCGGAGAAAACCGGCGAGGGAATTAGGATCTTAAATCATTTTTAAGATGTGGTGTGCGTCTGTATAAAAAGCCTGCATATGCGCCATTCGGCTATCTGACACTAAATACATGTAGCACCCAATCTTAGAACAGTGTAATACGATATACAATATACATTCGTTGCAGGAAGCTGTTCCTGACCATTGTTGTACATAATAGGATACATCTGATTATTGTTGATCATCTTGGAAAGTGGAACATTAAGGAATATAAATTATGCAAATTAAGTTAGATGTCAGTATCGTGTTATCATGCATATATTATGCTATAAATCATGCAAATAAGCACCTGATTAGCATAAGAGCCAAGCCAAGGAGGAGCATAACCAATGCGGAAACGATATGTTTTCTTATTGCTTCATCACTTGTAGCCCCCAAACCATGTTCAGTATAGTGCAATAATAACATGAAGAAGTTTGTATTTTCCAACTACTGGTGAAGAATTGCCGTCGGCGTGTTTATGACGGTTTCTTGATAATGAAAAAATGCGCACAAATCAAAGCTGTTTGTATGCAGAGGTAAACTTTTGGTACAGAACTCACGAGGGGCGTGTTTGGGAATAACGCTGAACACATAAAACATGCACAAATGCCAGCTCACGCAAATGTCATGTTTTTTTCTCTCATAGGAACAGAAGTGTGCATACATATAATTAATACATCATTATCAAAGCCACATCCATGTAATCTGTAGGGTCCAGTTGAAACAAGTGTGTATTACCTTATCCCTGGCCGTCACGTCTGCCCCATGACGAATCAGAAGCTCACAAGTCCCGGTGTGGCCCTGGTAAGCAGCCCAATGCAAAGGTGTGCGCTGGTACTGTACAGGGAGGAAGGTCAGGGTCAGTAGGAATGGGTTCATCACGGACAACAGTTATCACGTGGGTAAGCTACAGTATGGGCTACATGTAAAGTTGTGTTAAGGAGGTTATAACCTGCTTGGTTGTGTATACATCAATAAAAGTTCCTGAAACTCCTGTTATGGATCTCTCATACCTGATCTGATCAGGTATACTGTATGTTGTATTGATTTTATGCCACATTTATGCCTGTTTTCTGTATTATCTCCTTAGATATGTCAATTTATACCGTACGTCCATACCTAATGAGTACCTATTATAAATCAGCTAATGTTTGTATAATTGTCTCTGTACCATATTCATGCAATCTGTAGGGTCCATTTGAAACAAGTGTGTATTACCTTAGTCCTGGCCGTCACGTCTGCCCCATGACGAATCAGAAGCTCACAAGTCCCGGTGTGGCCCCGGAAAGCAGCCAGATGCAAAGGTGTGCGCTGGTACTGTACAGGGGAGGAAGGTCAGGGTCAGTAGGGATGGGTTCAACACGGACAACAGTTATCACGTGGGTAACAAGCAGTATGACGTGAAGTTCCGTCGATCACTAACAGGTTCCCGGATGTCCAGCTACGATCCCGCCATAGCCTGACTGGTCGATCGATCAATTTTAATTTTAATCAGAGAAGAAAAACAAAAAGGAGGCATGTGTGGCGCCAACCTGAAGTTAAGTCACTTATATTACAGCACTAAAAAGAGACAAGTAAGGAAAGAAAGTATGAAGGAACAAACCTACGCAGAGGTCGAGTATTGACTGGATTGATGCTGATTAATTACAAGGAACGAAGGATAAATCAAGGTAACGATTGTAAAGTACAAGTGATCCACACTATATATAGTTACTACCACCTCACACATGTGTAACAGAAGTGTGATTCCTGTAAGGTGACTAACGAATAAAATGTAGTTGCGTTTCTGTTATGTGTGCAATAGAAATTTGTGGGCAAAACTTTCACTTTCAAACCTCACATGGAACCTACTTAGGATTTGTGTTTTATCTTCCTGACTTTTCTGACCCAGACTGAGTGGAGAAACTTGACCACGAGTCACCCTGTCAGGGTTCAGGTCAGGAGAAGTCAGGACTGAGTTATTTCTACTCACCCTGTTCCACGCCTCCAGGTCGGCACCGTGTTCGATCAGCAATGCCGCCACTTCAGTCTGCTCGTGCAGGCTGGCCACATGCAGGGATGTCTGGTCATCCTGGATAGAACAACAGTTGGGACGATAACCGGTTACAAAACGGCTGTATAGGCCGTGCGTTTATAGAGCATTATATCACTAAGAATGGAGACATGACAAGGGAACCACGAGTCACCCTGTCAGGGTTCAGGTCAGGAGAAGTCAGGACTGAGTTAGTTCTACTTACCCAGTCCCTCGCCTCCAGGTCGGCGCCGTGTTCGATCAGCAACGCCGCCACTTCAGTCTGCCCGAACCTGCTGGCCACATGCAGGGATGTCTGGTCAAGCTGGATAGAACAACAGTTGGGACGATAACTAGTTACAAAACGGTTGTATAGGCCGTGCGTTTACTAAAAATGACATATCCCGGGGACCTGACAGCTTTTCTTACCGAAAGAAATATATGCAGGATGATAATTATCTAGTGTTGTTAGTTCTGTCCACCGCTTTATCAGAGCAATTTGACACCTTTAGTTTGGTTATCAAAACGGTTTGCAACAGTTTCTGATCATCTAAGCAACGGGTGTTCATCATGTTCTGGTTTCTTTCAACATTTAAATAACGTAATAATACAGTGAACAGTGGTGCCGAACCCAAGCTATATGGAGATTCAGAGGTGAAAAAATGAAACAACAGTAAATAGGTTGGACTACGAGTCTGTAACCTTGCATGAACTAACAGGTTGCTTACCCTGTAGTCCCATTTTCTCTTGACCCTGAGGTCCACCCCAGCGTCCAGCCCCCTCCTCACAGTCTGCACGTCACCTTCCCGCACAGCCGTGTAGAACGTGTCCAGGTCCATCTCCTCACTACCTGCTGGGGGCGACATGGAATAAGTTAGGCTTTGAACAACGTATTTAACAAACAAAAAACGTATTTATCAAAGGTGCAAACATCAGAATTTTTAATAAGTTAATTTTTCTAATCTCTATGCAGATCATATGGTAGTAAGACAGTGTCCTTTGGCCAGAGGAGTGATCATTGGCCGTTACTCCTGTGGCTCATGAACACTGTCTTGCCAGCGAAAGGGATTTGCTTGGAGATTAGATTTTTCTTTTTCTGGTGCAAATTCTTAACACGGTTTTCAGGTTGATTGGTTCTGTGTACAATATTTATTGGCACGGCAATAGTACAGCGATTGTACTGGAGTTTTTGTTAGGTCTTCTGCACAGTGAATACAAGAGGAAGTAGTACAAAGTTGTAAGCATTTTATATGTATCTACGTACTTACTGTTTACGTTTAGTTTCGCATATCTATTTTCTATTTATCTATTTCATCTTAAAATAGCTGGGTAGCCCATTCAACTAGACTAAATCGCACCCCTAGCGGCCCACCCGAGTAACCGGCTCCCGTCCCTGGCGTCAAGAACTTAATTTTTGACGTGTATAACGTGTAGAAACTGCTTTGCAATAGGGCCCGGCATGCATTTACATAGGACAAGACATGGTTAATGTTACATTTAGTCAAGCAGCAAAAGATGGACAACAGTCAAATAGAACGTCCAAATAGAATATAAACATTCATATTTCAACACTTTTACCAGTTTTCACACCGTAAAGACGATTCCTAAAATATTAATTGATTCGATAGCATCAAATGTATTCGTTCATTTAGAGCTTTCCTGTTATCGTCCTATTTCACCGGGCAGGCAGTTTATCAGTCCTGCATAATCTCCAAGCAGATCCTAGGGTGGCAAAATACAGTATCAAATGGGCCAGAGAGGGTCCAATACGCCAGACAAGGAACTGCAGAAAGTCTCAAGCATCAATGCATCATAAACCAAATCACTCCAACACATTACAGTCTTTCTACGAGTACGTGCGAACTGCGAAGCCTTTGGGTGGCGTATTGGACCCTCTCTGGCCAATGGATACTGCCTTTTGCCACCCTAGGATCTGCTTGGAGATGAAGCCGTGCAGACATGTCAACACAGACTGGCGGGTAAACATGATCAGGCCGCACCTTTGGACCGGCTGCCTTATCAACAGCGCCATCTGTTGCGTGTTTGTTTATTCCATTATTTTTACCTAAAGGAACCCCCTGACTATCTACTTCAGCATTTCTTAACGTAACTAAATACCACAAAGGCAGAAAATGCCGCCATTATGAAGTAAAATCCACCTGTTTTTTTAGGAACATGGATGTAGTTTGTTCATTACACTCTTTTAATAACCTAGAGGAACCCCGTGAGGAACTACTTGACTTTTCTGTGGTCAACAACAAAGTCTCAACGTAACTAACCACCATAGTGAGGCGGATAGACGCCATACATCGATGAAAATAAATTTGACGAAAATATATATTACTTTTATAGAAATTCGGAGTGAAATGCAAGTTCTTCATTAAACAAATGTCAGCTATACATATGTATGTACCACAAGTTGTTATCAACGTTATAAAGTTGTTAGCAACATAATCTTTTATACTTCCTGGCCTTCTCTTAAGATTACATAAATTGCATGTGTGAAATTCATATCTCTTGGCAACAATCCAAAGATATTTATCTTTTATGAACATGGAGTGACATACTGTTACTGTAGTTTTCCTACCCAGCTTCAGATAAACATTTAGTAAACCACTTTAGCCACAAGTTTTGTAGTCAACGCTTATGTCGACCAAGACTGTTAACTTCATGCTGATGTTCAGCACCATACCTTCAGCCATTGTGGATGAGACAGCCGTTCTGGAGTCCCTGTTATGGCTGTTTATCCGCTAACCTGGACCAGAATGTAAGTAGAGCAAAAAAAAAGTCAGATATAACGTTACATGTGTTTGTACCACTTATACATGGGTTGTTATCAACATTAATGTCAACAAGAAATGTAAATGCAGATTCTCATAACGTTCAGCTCCATACCTGCAGTCTCAGTTGATCAGACAGCCGTTCTGGAGTCCCTGTTGTCCGGTTAATGCCCTGTTGTGGTTGTTTATCCGCTAACCCGGACCAGAAGACCGGACAGACCCGGAGCCCAACATGGCGACCGGCCAGGACATCACGAGACACAAACAGGTGCACCAGTTTGGGGACTTTGAACTTTTATCAGCAGACGTGTGTTTGTCGTCCCCTTGGTTAGTAAACTACGTCAGGGCGCGAATATCAAAACGCAAAGTAACGGCAGATCCGGTAGTTGGCAACTAAAAATAAGTTTCTGGCTCATTCTACAACGCAACGCCTAGACGGGAATATCAAAACGCTCAGAGTCCGTCTGGCGCAATTTTGCCGCGTAAAGTGACGGGACAACTAGTTGGCAACTAAAAATAAGTTTCTGGTTCTTTCTGCAACTTTACGCCAAGATGAAATGCTGCTCTTAATGGTACTTTTCCATACCTCTGACTCAACAGGCCTTCGTTATGAAGCAGGTGCGCCAGTTTGGGGACTTTGAACTTTTATCACCAGACGTGCGTTTGTCGTCTGCTTGGTTAGTAAACTACGTCAGGGAGTTTGGCGGGAATATCAAAACGCAATTGTGCCGCGCAAAGTGACGGGATAACTAGTTGACAACTAAAAATATGAACTTTTTGGTTCGTTCTGTAACTTTACACCAAGACGTAACGCTGCTCTTAATGGCACTTTTCAATTTCCTTGACTCAACATACCTTCCTTATGGAAATTATTGCCAATTGAACAAACTACAAAACATTTTAATCACTTCTCTTGTGCAATAAAAAGAACTGCTAACCGTACTGCAGCTGATTTGCAAAATAAAGAAAATGTCGCTATATTTGACCAATTTGTAGATCCGGAAAATGCCAAGGGAAAATCTACACGTACTTCTAGTATTTTGTCTCGTCCAGTTAAGGCGTTTGATTGTTTCGCTGCAGTTCTGGTAATTCTTTAACTGCCATTGAATTTATTTGGCGCAAGTGTTTCATCGCAAAATATTGTCAAACATGTGTTTATCAAAATCAAACTAACAAGGATGTCATTCAGGCAAGGTCTCTACAGAGTCCAGTAGACAATGGATCGTCAACTTGCGCCTTCAGTTGATTCTGTATGGTGTCATACATTGTCTAACAGTAAACACTAATGAATATACATGGCACTCATGTAATAAAATGATAGCCTTTATTCAAGACGGTCCAGTGCAAAAGTGCACAGTGTCTCCTAATTTTGAACATTCGCAATATTGCACCTTAAAATTTACTGCTTCCAATATTGCACCTTAAAATTCATTGCTGACATCTGAAAATTTTAGATACATTTTGAGGAATAGAAAAATAGTTGACCCTTCGATTCCACACGAACGCGAGATTCCACCCCTTTATTGCACATGGAACAGTCCGATGCTGTAAAATTCATGCCCAGATTCCTACAGCATGGATGTCCCTTCAATACAATTTACCTGGGCCAGGAATTTTACATGATAATTCCATCTTCCAAATTACGAGTATGTACAGTCAATATTCGCTCAGTTACTCAATCAATATGATATTGGAATCATATCCAGTTGCTTGAGTAACTGCTTTTTGGCGTACCTTATTACCTGGATGTCTAACCTTCATCGACACAGTCAATCTGAATACTATTTATAATCTTATATTCTACATTGCACTCTGCAACAAATGGCCATCGGAAGTAATGCTAACTACGAACATTATTCGCATGATGTCATTTCACTGTGTCATTCCTGTATTTCTGTAAAGATAATTTTGCATCCAATCAGCCCCAAAATGCCAGGAGGTTGATTCCGTCCTTTGTGACCATCAAATTTACCTGGCAGCAAAGCAGCAGATTGCAGAAGACTTGTATACAATGTAAGCAATAATGTCATACATGATAAGCATTTTGTGTTGGTAACACGTCCCACTCTTCTATGGAAATATACCTGACTCAAATTATGTAAAGCTTGATTAGCTTACTATATTGCTATCTACCTATTTACTGCAGTGTATCCATGTCACAATAAGAAAGTAATTATGTCAGTTCTGCTGTCACAAGCTAGCTAGTGAAAGTAGTCAGTTAGGTAGTGTCCTGATATTAATATACATGAAAAGGATTTGGAAAACACCATATGTGACACAAAATGCAACTGTCAATCACAAGCAAGTATAGGAGGTTCCGGTCTTTAAGGCTAAGTTCACTGCATCATTTTCGCCACCTGTTCGAAGCTTCCATGACGACCTTGACCACTTGACGCGTAGTTCCCACGGCGTCCCAGCTGGTCTTCCTGTCCTGTAGCTCATCTGTGCGCTGTGCGCGCATCTGCTGCACTGGGGTCACTCAGGACCGATTGGAGCACCTGATGCGTGTCTTCCTCCTCCGCCTCCTCTAGTCCTGTGTGTACGC